ATCAGATGGTTTCTTTTGTTTAAGCATGGACTTGATAATATGCAAGGATCAAAATTTCATTGCGGTGTATTATTTCGGTCACCTAACAAATAGAAACATTTCGATGTGTTTCAAAAAAGTTTCGACCCATTTCAAAAACATAATGAAAAAAATAAAAAATTTAAGAATTATTTTTCTAAACCATTGATTTAAATATATAAAAGTATCCTGAAATACCTTGAAACATTCTAAAACAATTATGCAAATGCATTGATATATTATAATACATCTCAAAAAATTATGAAATACCTCAAAATATTAGAATTTCAATTCTATCATTAATTTGTTTCGATCTCCTTGAAAATAGAAACGTTTTAGATGTTTCGACTGTTTCGAAACAATGTTTCGATCCTTGACAATATGTGATATAGAATGTATAATTAATGAATGATAGAATAGTTAGTTATTATTATATATATTTGATAGATGTGTGATTTACTTTATAAATTATAATTATTATATTAAATATAATAATAAAATTTTAAAAAATATATATTTTATAGACGTATCTAGGGATGTCAATAGGTCGAAGTGGGGGCGGGGGGTATGATCTTCATCCTCGTACCCGCTTAAAAAATCTTCGTTCATCCCCGGTCCAACCCCATTAACGGGTATAATTTTCATCTCTATCCCCGTCCGCAGGTAAATTTCTAATCCCCGTCCCCATCCCCGCTTCCCCCGTACCCGCCTAAGCCTAAACCCAAGTCTGGTCCTTTTTCATGTATTCTTTTCCTGGTCCTTTTTATAGAGCCACATAATCCATTTTGGCTTTATGTGTGAAAACCTGTGGTCTATGGGAACTCAAATGCACATTCCATCAGAACACTAATTAATAGCAATACCATGTCTTCAGAGACATCATGGGGAATTTTGAAACAACCCAAAACTCCAGACAAAACTAACCCTCCACACATATGGATCAAAATTGGCTCTTTTCATGGTATGATTAACCAAATCCAATCAACACAACATACACAAAAACATTAGAACCCATTATTTACAATTCAACATCTCCATTAGTCAATCAATTTTCAATACACACACAGCGATCAAGCACAACCCTAGATTCAATTGACAGTCTAATAATCATCGACTTTCAATAAATCCTCTCCCGATTATCAATTGAAAACCACCATTTGGAAACCCTAATCGCAACGAAAATTCAGAAACCACATAATAAATCCAATCCACAAAGACATTACAACTGAAATCAAGAAAAGCACTAATTATCATACTAATCCAGAATCCAATGCATTATAATCAGATTAAACCCTAATTCTAGAAATACTTCACAATAGCGGAAAACAAAGAAAAGAAAAGAAAGCTATGAAAAATTGCTGACCTTATTACAGCACTCTCTGTCTCTCAAATTGAGAGATAGAACGCTATTTGCAGCAGATCTGTAAGCGTTCTATCTCTATTTACACAACACTCTCTGACTCTCTCCACTTATTCTTCGCTTGGAAGAAGGACGCAATCACCAATCAGCGATCAGCGAGCTGCTGAGAGAGAGAGAACGATGAGTCGATGGTGGAGGCAGACGGCTAATAGAATAAGTTAGGGCTTAGTGTTTTTAGCTGAGAGTATTTATATATATATATAACGGGTAACGGGGACGGGGACGGGGGTAAGGGTAAGTCCATCCCCGTCTTTATCCCCGCACGGGTTTATATAGGTATTCCCGTATACGTCCACCGTCCAATACGTATAATATATCCCCGATCCAAACGAGACAAATTTGGACGAATACCCCTTTTTCCCCGATCCACTGCCATCCCTAGATGTATCCTAGCCGTACCCGTACCTTTATTTTTAAGTTTTGCCCTATCGCCGTATCCATATCATATTGTATCATATCCATATCCCGTATCCGTATCCGTGCTTCATAGATGTCAAAAAGTTCAACAGTAGAAGTTAAATAAGGTTCCATGTTAAACCACAACCAAGTCATTACCTGAGAATTCTCAATCCACCGATCTTCATAATTCTTGGAGTCCACTGGGGTAGGACTTTCAACCAGATACTACAATTATGTCTATTCAATTTCATAACTATGACTTGTCTAACTTGATCATCCACCAAATGATTTTTGGTATCCTCAGAAATAGCCATGGAGAGGTTCTCAATCACCAATGATCAACAAAAACAATATTCAATCAAATAACTGAGAAAAACACACCAAAGTCGATCCTATACCCCAAAATTAACCAACCAATCATAAGGATCTGAAAGGCCTACAATGGATAACCAGATCACTCCTGGACAGAAAACCTGAACCAATCCAAGCCCCAAAAATGCTAGGCCGGACGCCTTGATAGTGCCACAACAAGAATCCACCAAAGAACAACTCAAATGAGTATGGGTCAACCAAAAACAACTTCTAGGACCTTTGTCCGATGTCTCGGTGTGGAACAAAGCATCAAACTACAACAAATTACCCTCAAAAAACAGATCAAAAAATTAGTTCCCATACCAAAAATTATTGAAAAATGGGAAAATATACCCAAGTGACCCCAAATTTATTTCAAAAATCATCACAATTATTACTTCAAAATATAAGCCAGGAGGAAGGTTTCTAGTGCCCGAAGTTACTGGCATTAACAACAGAAATGGTCTCTGGAGGTTTTCTACTGAATTTTTTATTATAGATTGTCTCAAATTGTTGCTTTGATACCACGTCAAATAGTGAAACTGGTATTAGGGTTTGAGAAAGAGAATGAGAAGAGAGAGAAAAGAATAATGTGTATGAATTGTGTTGCCCTACACTCTCACGTTGAATGATTTGGCCACCCAAGATTGGTTTATATGCTTAAGAAACCTCTCTACCTATTGCCAACTGGTTTTGGGATGGAGGCTCTAACATGATTTCAGAGCTAGTAACAGAGTGGCCAATGGGTCAAGTCTTTTCACCATTTGAATTTCCTGATATGCATATTTATTCGTTTTTTGGTAGCCCTAAGGTAGTCCGAGTCCCACATGAGTGTGGGTTTAAAGGGAGCTTGTGTCCTACATTGAATGATTAGGGCTACCCAAGGTTAGTGTACATGCTTAAGAGGCCTCCCCAGTCATTGCTAATTGATTTTGGGTTAGATGTTTAAATATGGTATCATATTAGAGCTAGACCTTGGGTAATTGGAGGCTACACTCTTGTCCATTTAAATTTCCAATCTATTTATCTGTATATTTCAATTGTGTTCATTAGCCCAAGTGCAAATTCGAATAGCGCACGAGGGAGGGTTTGAAGAGAGCTATCCCACATCGATAAATTAAGTAGACCCAAGTTAGCTTATATAATTAAGGACCACTCCACTCATTCTCAATTAGTTTTGAGTTGGATATTCTACACATTATCAAAATTGGACCTTGGGTGGTCAATGGCTTGTCTTTTAGCTATTTGAATTTTCCAATATGTATATTTGTCTATTTGTTTGATAGCCCCTTGTGCTAGTCCAAGTCCCATGTAAGGGTGGGCGTAAAGAGATCTTGTAACCCATGTTGAATGATTAGGGTCACCCAAGGTTGATTTATATGCTAAAAGGGCTTAAGGAGCCTCCCCTTGCACTGCTATTTGGTTTTGGGTTAAATCCACCGACAAACATAATACACTACGTTCACACAACCCATACACCAAAAAACACAAAAAGAACTACATGATTACCTAGTGAATGTAGTAGGAACACTAACTTCATGTTGCGATGCAAATGAATTGTCTACGTAATTTATGACTTAATGAGGAGATATAACTCAAGGTTTAACAAAGTCAGAATAAAGAACTACATTACAACAACCCACACTAGAAAATACTAAATTCTTCGCCAGATGCACCTACAACAAGATCCAAATGGACAAAAATAGAATTTTGAAAGTAAGAAAAAAGCCATGAAATTAAGAAAGGATTATCGTATATCAAACAACATCAAAATTGAAAACCCTTAGAACCATAAAATAGACAAATGGGCTCTGTCCTTTAATGTCTATATGGTAGGCTATGCTGAGTGAATAATGAGGAAAATATATAATAATAATAAAAAAAAGGATGAAAAAATATTGTTTAATCTAGAATAAAGTTTTAGGGCCAGGGTTTGTTTGGGTGCTATCATTATGTGCAATGATGAGAGAGAGAGAGATGATAATTGGCTTATTGTACAATGACTGCTTATCCTATAATGGGGAGACCAAACTATGCACTAATGAATGAGAAGTTACAATAGTACCCCTACTAACAATAATTCTAGAAACTTTAAAACTTTTAATATTTAAATAAATGATAATATCTCTAGTGGTCGCCCCGTGCAAGGCACAAAATTGATAATATCTCTTCATCACCACCGTCACCCTACCTCCAGCTCATTCTAATAGTATGAAAAAACTACTTACTAATGTACTAAACTGATATTTTATCTAAATTTAAATGCAAAGTAATTAATAAAGAAAATGAGAAATTAAAATGTGAAGTAGTTATCAAAAAATTAGAAGTAATTACCTATGCCCCATGTTGGAATTCAATTGTAGGAGACCAATTAAATGATTCAAAATTAGGAGAAAACTTCTTAAGCACTCTCTCTTCTAAATTAATCCTTTTAGTATATAGTATAGATGGATGGAGGCATGTGTCACATAGTGTTCTAGACACGTCCTTTTCAAGTAACCAAGGACAATAAGATTCCAAATGCAAAGTAACCAGAACATTGTTCACAAAGAAGTTCACTGCTAGTCCTACTCAAGGTTTCACCAAGCAAACTTTGGATGGCTCAACAAACAAGGTAAATGTTGATGACAGCAACAAGGACAAAAACAATTTAAGATATTACAGATTTACACTATGTTAAACACCAAGCGTTTATCCAGCTTTGTTTTGTTTTCTCATAAAAGTGAAATGACTACATATCACAATTTCAACTGATTCTAAAACCATGCTCCCACAGCAGGCGCATTATAAAGTAGAATAGCCAGACATGCTTTCATGCAATTAATACCTCGTGTTTGTAGAGCTCAAGAAAGATCAGAACAGCGTTCATTACAGAAAATCCCATCTCATAAATCGCCTTCTGCGTGCGAGGTTCCGATGCACTAGCAGCACCTCGAAGCCGCTCCAACAAACAACAGACCTGTAGCATGTCATAATGTTGTGATTGATTGTAAAAAGAGTTTGTATCGCACATCAAACGATTATGATCATCCAAGGTTGGTTTATGTGATTTAGTGGTCTCTCCCCACATTGTTAATCTGTTTTGAGGTTGATGCTCTAACATGGTATCCAGCTCAAGCCTTGGGTGGTCAGTGGTCTCTTTTTCATTTCTTGGTATACATGTTAACCTATTTGTTTGTGAGCCCCGCGATCAAGGCCGGGTCTCACATGAAAGAGGGTGTAAAGAGAGCTTCTAACCCACATCGAATGATTAAGATCAGCCAAAAGGGCCCTTTCAACTCCTTGCCAATTGGTTTTGAGTTGGGTCCTCTAATAGTGATAGCCATTGTTCATGACTACTAACATAGGAAATGAAAATGAATTTGTAGCACAAGTTATGTCCTTACCAACAGGATAACATCTGGCTGTTGGACAACCTGTTTGAGATCATTCTTGCCAGACATTTCCACTAGATAAGACACCATATGACCCATGAGACCCCTTACATACCTGCCAAGAATGGTAAGCCGAGATCAGGCCATATGCCATTACAAAGAAAAAAATCAAATATATACCCACTGATTGGAAGCCTCTGAAGTTCTCATGCCAGAAGCTGAAAGAACAAGTGTTTGAGCTAGTGAACGCTGAAAGACAAAAAATTATTATCAACATTATGCAGTTTCTAAACTGAGAATAACGATATGGCCATCTCTTGGTCAGAGGGAAAAGGGAGAGGAAGGAAATGAGGAAAAGGAAATGATAGGTAAAGAAAGGAAAGAGGGAGGGAATTCTTTTTATTTGGAAAGAAAATAGGAGCAGAAGGGTCCTATGTTTCTTAGTTTTTCTCTTTAAACAACACCCTCGTGCTAAATTGCAAGGGCATAATGCGAAGATAAAGTAACCCCTTTCCCTTGCCCCTCGTTTCTTTCCTACTCAATTAAAACAAAGAGGGAGACATGATATAGGATGAAACCTTTTCATTCCTCCTATCTTCCCTGCCTGTCCATTTTCTGTCTTCTTGACCAAAGGAAGTACAAGAATTCTAAGTACTTACTTGGTGAGCAGAATTTAATGAGAACAAGATTCTTTCATTCGAAAAAGCATTTGCTAACTCATGCCATGACTCCTGCAGATATAAAAATAGGAGGATTTCATAGAAATCATTACAACTAACAAGATATCTCCAAATATTGGGGTTCATACAATAACTACAAAAAAGACATCCCACTGTAAAAAAAAGCAGCACTCGTCTAAATCCAAATGTTCTAAAAACATCAATTACAGAAGGTTAAAATTCATCCCAATAACCTTAATGCAAGGATCAAAATTGCAATGCTTTCCACCAACATGACCCAAATGTTTCTATTTCTTGGAAACCAAAATGAAATAGTGGTTGAATATGAAATTCTAATGTTTCAAGGTGTTATATTTCGAGATGTTTCAGGATGTTTCGACCCATGTTTAGGGATGTTTCGGAAACAAATTTCCAAAAAAAATCTCTCTATCGACTTTATTTCCAAAATATTTGTGAAACATTTTCGACACATTTCCGCTTTCGAGCTGCCTAAAACTATATATCGAAATGAAATTTTGACCCTTGCCTTAGACTTGTACATTCAAACCTGGCAGCCACTTTGTATATATAATATGAAAGGTTATGTTCTACCACTACAAGGCCCCGTGAATAAGGTCCTACGAAGCACAAACACTTCATCAAGGTTGAAATACCAATATCTAATACACATCGATATGGATACACCTTGTATTTGACCAAATTGATACCAACTATGGTTGAATACGTCTTCGATAATTTAAAAATCACTTTTAATTTTAAATACATTTGGGATATACCGAGGATACGAGATCAATACCCTTGGCATACGTGGGGATACTTCGAGGCTAAAAAAAACCAATTGCTAATTCATAAAACGCCATTAAAATAAATAATTGAAGCAATTAAAATAAATATCATTCAAAACAAAAATCCATGAGTTCGTCTATGAAACAATATAATCTTGACCTTGCTAGAGTTCTTATTTAATGTTAATCATGTTAGGTAATATTGTAATTTACTCATATGCTATAAATTTATGAAGCACAAATATGGATATGAGATACGAATACGATACGATATGGATACGGCGATACGACAAAATCTAAAAAAAAAAGATATGGGTACGACTAGGATACGTCCATAAAATATTTTTTTTTTAAATTTTATTGTTATATTTAATATAAAAATTATAATTTATAAAGTGAATCACACATCTATCAAAGATATATAATAATAACTGACTAGTCTATCATTCAGAAATCATACATTCATAAAATCTTATTTGTTTTTTTTGCAAATAAAAGCCCAAACATATTTGCTTTGGTGCCCCTATTCTTTTTTAAAAATTGTAGTACTACCCAGCCGTATCTCCGACGTATCCCTACGTATCTTGAAGTTATATGAGTATGGGTGGATGTTGTATGAGATTGAATAAGTAGGAATTAAAAAAGGATTGAATTGGGGGCAAACTGAGCTCTTCTACCGGTAGAACGTTGATTATCTACCGGTAGAAAAATTCAGAGAACTCTTCTACCAATAAACCATACACGATCTACCGGTAGGTCCTTCGAAATTTCCAAAAATTTAAAATAATTTTGTCAAGCCATCGGGCCTTGAGTCCTTTTGTTCAAAGGATGTAAATGGAGTAATATTAAGGATAAATTGATGTCTGTTGGATCTTGAAATGGTGAAGTCATTGAAATGTATACAGATTATGCATTTGGGAGTGCCTGGTACAAGGGAGACTCTGCCCAAACTCTGTGTTGTTTATGATCTCAATGAAGGGGATGTTATGTTGTGGTGTCAGATTATGCGGCATTCACGGGTACTTCTGTGAGTTCATGGGTGATCAACGGATTGACAGAAGACTCACAATTTTAAGGGGGTCACACTATTGATTGTATATTTATTAGCTATGCAATAAATAGTAGTGCGTATCATTTTCTCGTGCATAAATATGATATTCCTGATATACATGTCAATACAATTATTGAATCCAGAAATGTATCATTCTTTGAAAATATATTTTCTAGTAAAAAATGCATATGATGAAAATTCTCTTAAAAGAACTCATGATACTGCGACTAGTAATATATATCCAAATTTAAATTTATTTTTTTTAATTCTAGGATACTTCCCAACTGTGTCAGACACGTATCCAGCCATATTGGACGCGTATCCGTATCCAAAAAGTATCCAATACCGATACTTTAACCCTTTTGAAGTATTTATGCTCCATAGCTATAAATAAATAAGGAATTTTTGCACTTTAAATCCCGAAAGATATGTCGATTCCCACTTTATACCCCGAAAGATTATTTTTTCCACTTTACACCCTGAATATAATAAATTAGTTCCAATGTGGCCCACCATCCAAGAATATGAATGGTGAGTTTATATTTTTGTCTAAGAACAACACACGTGGGTGGCATGTGCATCAAATTTTAATAGAATTTGAAAGGGATGTTACTTCGAGGGCCACATTAAAACCAACTTATGATATTTTGAGTGCAATGTAAAAAAAATAATATTTCAGAGTGCAAAGTGAAAATCGAAACATCATTCATGATGCAAAGTGTGAAAAGCCCAATAAATAAATTAGGTGTAGACAACAATCAAAAATATCGTTTCAAAACGGAAAAAACACCCGAAACATTTCTGGTTTCAAGGAAACCGAAACGAATCAAAAATGGAATTGAAATTCTAATACTTAGCGGTGTTCTATAATGTTTCAAAATATTTTTTTCTATTTCAATGCATTTGCACAATTATATCTGAATATTTAAAGGTATTTCAAAATATTTTTGTATATTTCGACCAATGTTTTGAAAAAATAATTCTTAAATTTTTTATTTTTTTCATTCTATTTTTGAAATAGGTTGAAACGTTTCAGAAATATGTTAAAACATTTCCATTTCCTTTTTTTGCCTTTTCCTTTATTTTTTTCTTATTCCAATTCTTTGTTTCTAGACAAAGATATGACCGGTGAATGTGTTGGTGCCCTCCAATGGTGAATAGTGGTTGTGGGTGTTGAGTTTCACAATGAGCTAAAATTTGTTGATTGGAAACATGCGATGACTAGGTGTTGATTGGAAACATGTTGAAACATCGTTTCTTGATTCTTTGTAGTTTGTTGCAAATAAGTTGGATTTGTTGTTCGAATATAATTAGCGAGCATTAGGGGTGGTGGTTGTTGTGTTAGCTCGTGGCCATCGTTATCGGATTTGGTCGCCGATGTCACATGCGTGTCGTCACCCACAATTCAAGGTCGTGGTATCAGTCTTCGACTCAAAAGGTACTGAGACACATTGGTCGCGGCATCGGGGCAATATTAGCCAATACGCTCAAAACGTTAGATAGAAGGCGCAAAAAAATATGTAAAAATCAAAAAAAATATAATCATCATCATTTATGCATTATATTCACAAAAAAAAATATTTAACTCATTAAACATAGTGAAAATGAGTTATAAGGAGGCATTGTAAATATCAGATTAAGAATTAAATATCACTAAATTGTTAAGGTTTAAATAAATGTTACTATGATTATTTTTAACATTCTACTATTTAATGTTAAAAATTTTAAAAATAACAATAACAACAAATATGTATCTTAAATTGTAAATGGGATAAATAAATTAGACCCCATTACTACTTAATATAAATGTCAAATTAATGTAGATTTATTTTTAGTTTTAAAATTTATGTGAAAAATAGAAAAATATGGTGTCCATGTAATTTATTTTTATATCTAATTACATATCAGTATTTTATGTGTAATTATTATATTTTTAATTACATGTACAAAACTAACGAAAGTATCAATTTAATAAGGAATTAGACTAGAAAATAAAAACTAAAAAAAGAAGGGTAAATCACATAAATGGCCCCTGAACTTTACTATTTTTTTTAAATTGCACCCTGAACTTTAAATTTTTTGATTTTACCTCCTGAACTATTTAAATCATTTTAATCAACACCTTTCGTTGGATTTCACCATTAACTAAGGATAAAACTCAAACGGCAAATGCAGATGGCATATATTGAAGGTCATTTTCAGCATTTCACCTATTGTGTAAGGGTCTTAGGCGCCAAAATTCCCTGCCTTGATGCTTTGTTCCTAGGCATAGTCCTTTCATCTCCTACATTCAACGACAGAAGCACAATATCTTGGTTAGGGTTAGGGTTTTGTGTTCCTAATTCTCATATTGACTGAATACTGTAAATAGGTGGACCTTTCATCTCATTCCCATCTCTTAATCATCTCCTACATTCAACGACTAACTAAACCACAATGACTTGGTTATTGTGGACAACAAGTGTTATCTTCCATCCACAACAAGTCTACAGTAAGTATTGCATCTCATACCCGTAGCTTTGGTTGTTTGGTGTTGGGTATTGGGTATTAAACTAATTTTCGTGTTATTAACTTTTTGGTATCGGGTATTAGACTAATTTTCATCATGTTGGCTTTTCAGTGTTGGGTATTGGGTTTTATGTATTGTGTTCCTTAAAGAAATCGGGTGTTAGGTAGTGTTATTGGGTGTTGGGTATTGTGTTCCTTACAGAATTTGGTTGTTGGATACACAACGCTAATTCTATAAGGAATGCATTATTTAATTCATATTTTGTTGGATTTTTCTATATTGATTGTCAGTATTTGACTGCAATTTATTCTTGTGTTGGCTTCACAATGCATGAGCAGGTCTGGACCCAAATTTTTTCACTATACAGATGCATTATGGTGGTAAATTCAAGCATATGCCCCGCAAAACATATTAAGGAGGGAGAGTTAACCATTTTAATTTGTGTGATGTTGATAAGATCTCTGTCCCTGAGATAAGTGAAATGACAAAAGAATTACAGTGTGAGGTGGTTACTCGTTATAACTATAGAGTTCCTGGAATGAATCTCACTGATGGTTTGAGGGTGTAAAATGATGACAATGATGTATTAGGAATGTTAGAGTTGATTCCCAAGAACAAGGTAATAGAAGTATACCAGGAACATGACTTGGTTGATGAAGATGCACAGGAAGAATATGATGCACAGGAAGAGTATGATGCAGTTGATGGTGATAATTCCGATGCATCAAATTATGAAGAAGTGTCTAACAGTGGTGAGGAAGAAACTAATGATTACTTATTTGACACATATGTAGACAATGTGGCTGAGTTTGGTGGTTTGGATGAAGATACAAACATGAGGCAGCAATGCACAAATAATAGTGAACATGTAGTATACACAGATGTCCTCTCTGATGATGATGCTACTTCTGATGAACTTAGAATGATTTTCCGTTCATCTGATGATCATGCAATGGACGGTTCATCTAAACCAAGACCAAAAAACGCAGAATTTAGTGCAAACAAAGACATGGAACATCCTGAATTCAAGTTGGGTATGTTGTTTGCGTCATCGCAGCAGTTTAAGCAACCTGTTAAACACTATGTCATTTGGAAAGGGAAGGACATAAGGTTTGTTAGAAATGAGAAACACAAAGCCAGGGCAAAGTGCAAGCCACCTCGTGAGTGGATGATTTTTGCATCCAAGCTCCAAGATG